GGTGTAGAGAAAATGAACCTTACCGGTATGTATCGGTGCCAAAGTTCGTGGAACATTTCAACTCTTTCCATGGCGGTCAAAAGCTTGATGATGAACTCAGGATACCTTATGATAAATCCGGAGCTCATCAAGCTGCATTGGTGAAAGAAAAGTATAGAATCTCAAACTGGGAACTTTTCAAGGCTTGTTTCGCGAGAGAATGGCTACTGATGAAGCGCAACTCTTTTGTATATATATTCAAGACCACCCAGATTACCATTATGTCTGTCATTGCTTTCACAGTGTTCTTCAGGACCAAAATGGAAGCTGGTCATCTATCAAATGGAACAAAATTTTATGGTGCACTCTTCTTTAGTCTCATTAATGCCATGTTCAATGGGATGGCTGAGCTTGCACTCACCACATTTAGGCTTCCAGTTTTCTTCAAGCAAAGGGATTTCTTATTCTATGAGGCATGGGCCTTCGCCTTGCCGATTTGGGTCCTCAGGATCCCCCTCTTTTGGTAGAGTCTGGGATATGGATCATCCTCACATATTACACCATTGGTTTTGCCCCATCTGCTAGCAGGTATGGAAAATGCAATATATTCGGTTACATAGAATTGTAGTTTCCATTTTCCTACTTATGAGCTATGCCAATCTACAATACTATTCATTTGCACATCAACAACGTTTCAAGTTCTTTCGACAATTCTTGGCGTTGTTCGGCATTCACCAAATGGCCCTCTCGTTCTTTCGATTCATCGCTGCAGTTGGCAGAACTCAGGTTGTGGCAATCACACTTGGTACATTTACCCTGCTGGTGGTTTTTGTACTCGGCGGATTTGTTGTTGCCAAAGGTTAGCGCTTCTGTACTTAAACTTGTTCCACTTCTCTCCAGCAGAAATGAATGGTTCCTTATCTTATCCAAAGCATTTGTTGTTGGTTCCAAGAATGATAACAAAAGATATCGATACTCAGTTTTGTTTATATCATTATTGATATTATTAATCTCCTTTTGCAGATGACATCAAGCCATGGATGATATGGGGATACTACATCTCTCCGATCTCCTATGGACAAAATGCCATTGTCATTACCAAGTTTCTTGATAAAAGATGGAGTGCTGTAAGATTTCCTAAGAGCATGCAAAAAAATGTCTATTATTGCATTGATGTTATTGGCTTATCTTAGTATTTTTCCTTTACATTTCCTTTGCAGCCATTATACTCCAGCACAGTAGGGAAGGTTCTTCTCAAAACCAGAGGCATCTCGAGATAACTTTAATATGTTAGTTAATGATATAATTGACTATATGTGTTCTTTTGTTAATGATTTTGGACAAAGAAGATAAAGTTAAGGATAAATTGAATTAAAGAAGCGCAAAGGCCAAAAAAAAAGAGAGAAATTCTATAAATAAATCCAAAATGGGAAATTACAATTTTGAGGGATTAGACTTTTTCTCTTCTTTTGTTTTAGTCCACAGAGAATGGAATGAATAAATAAATAAATAAAAATTGGCATCCATTTATGAGTGAGAACATGCAATAAAATCCACCAGCAATATGTTAAAAATGGTGTTTGGCCAGAGTAATCATGGTTTATTCACTCTAACACACATGTTTGTGCTTCTTTAATATCATCATTTTTATGGATGGACGTAAGATCTTATATTAAATGGTGAATTTCTAAAATTTAAGAAAGAGATAAACATATAAATTTTGTGGCAAAAACAAATTATCAACTAAAAATACAAAAAAAAATCTAAAATATATACTAATTTAATTTTTTTAGGAATAGCGACTGCCTCGCTCCAGAGACTAACAAATTTAAATTACGGTATCATAATTTAAAAAATTAAAATATCTAAATAAAATCATATACATTAATACATAATATTAGTACTCGATAAATTAATGTATATTATGACAAAAGTAGTAAGTATAAATGAGCAGAACGTTTGACAAATTATTCGTAAATCGTTCATATAACATTTGTTTATTAAATTAAATAAATGAGTATGAACAAAAATTTTGTATTCGTTTAATAAGCGTTAACCTAATCATTTGACTTATTGATTATTATTCAATTTATCCGTTCAAAGAGCACTGATTATCTTAAAATAAACAAAAACATATAGAGTCACATGTACGTGTGAGTGTCTACTTGAATTTTTTTAGTTTCGTCAAATTGAGAATCAATATATTTAAAGTGATCAATTAATGGGGAAATTATACGGAAATTCTTATTATCATATTTTTTTTATTATTAAAACTGTTTATTATTAAAACTCATTAAACAGTTTTAATAATAAAAGAAAGTGTTGTTCATTTTAAAAAATTTGAGTTCATATGATTACATTTATAAAACTCGTATGCGTTATAAATAGATTTAAAAAATATTTAAATATATAATATTTTATAATCAACCAATACAATTAAAAAATAATATCTCTCGTTATCTTTCTTGTGTGTTTTAATTAATAATTATTGAATGTAGACCTCAGTCTCGAACATCATCATTTTATGTCGCCAATTTGTCTACAACTTTACAAAAGAGTTGGAGAAATATCTCATGAACATAACTTTATTTTGTTACAAAAACTTCAAATTGCTTGTATGTGGTACTTCATTTTTCAATTTTCATATTTGTGATTTTCTTATAAATAAAAAATTTGGAGAGTTAATTCTTGAAATATCTTCTCATCGATAATAAGATGATCTTTTTTCTGTCTTACAATCATCATTTGTAATTTACCAAACAACTTTAAACATAAGTTATAGGGTTGTGTTAAAAATCTCAAACTATGTAAGCTTTCTCATAAATTTTGAATTACTGCATTCCCTTTTTCTTAAAAGAAAAAAAAATGGATTAGTGTTCATTCATTTCACAGATTCTAAATCCAACGAGTTTTGGGTAGGGGTATTTATATTCTTTATTGAAGAACGAATGATATAATATAAATAATCTTGATCCAAAAAAAATAAAATACAAAGAAAGGAAATTATAAATTTTCATGAAGAAAAAAATAGTTATTTTCTTTTTGAAGAGGAGTTTGCTCAAACCGTCCAACTCGTTTTTAGATTTGCGTTCTGACCTAATTTTAAGGGAAATTAGGCCTTAGCCACACTGTTTTTTTTATATTCAATCAATTGTGTCCGGATTATGCACTTTTAGTTGTTGATTTAGGCTCTGAACTTTAAACACTCTCAATTTAGCCCACAACTTATTATGTAATTCAATTGGTTCCTTATAGTGTACTGATTGATGATTTTGTCCTTGTAATTTCTATTTCTTCTAATTAGGTCTGAATGAATTTTAGGGTTCTATGATTATATCCTAATTTAACAGCTTAATAAAACTACAACCTTAATTTAATTTGATCATTAATTTTGATTGCTTAATAAGTTGTGGCCTTAGAATTGTGATTAATTTTGATGAAGCCTCAATTCCATTTTAAATAGTGATTTGTAATCATCGATTACTGATTATTTACGTTCCAGTCCGTAGAGTATGTTTTTTCCTATTTATATTTATGTTTTTTGTTTACATTTTTATCATTAGGATTATGACTGATCCTTTCCTTGCAACCAAGGTTTAAGTGAGACAATATGATCATTTTTTAGATTGGTTTTACATGAAATCCATTTAAAATCGAGAAAAAATTATTTAAATGTTCGACGTACTAATAGTTTGATCTCCTCCAATGATCACCTGACTAGGCTAGTTTTAAGGTCTTCTCGAAATAATATTTCTCACCATTCAAATTTTCAAGCGAACACCACAACCCCTCAAATTTAAGAAATCCTCAAAGTCCCTAAAATGATGAGTTTTTTTGTTTAATTTCGCCGAGTTTGGATTGATTTAGTGAAAAACAGTCTAGTAAAAGAAATGAGAGTGCAATACAAACATTTTGATACTAATGCTCTCGCTAGGGGTGTTTAAATTTTCGAACTAATTCGGTTAACCAACCGAACCGAATTAATTCGGTTAATTCGATCGGTTAACGGTTAAGAAAATTTTTAGAATTTGGTTAACGGTTAATTCGGTTCGAAATCGGTTAATTAACCGAAATTAAAGTTTAAATTTTAAATATTAAATATATTATATATAAGGCTCAGCCCAAACCATTTAAAACTCAATTAATAATTTAAGATCAAATAAATTTTAAACCTAAATCAATATTAATTAATTAAAAAATTTATATAAATTTTTTATTTTATAATTATATATTATTTAAATTAATTGTAAACTATTTTTTTGAATTAAAAAATATTATATATAACATATGGGCTCAGCCCAAACCATTTAAAACCTAATTAATAATTTAAGATCTAATAATTTTTAAACCTAAATCAATATTAATTAATTAAAAAATTTATATAATTTTTTATTTTATAATTATATATTATTTAAATTAATTAGAAATTATTTTTTTAATTAAAAATATTTAATTTTTATATAAATTAGAAAATTTTAAAAAATTTCAGTTAATTCGAAAATTAACCGAAATTTATTCGGTTCGGTTAATATTTTTGAAAAAAAAGTTTAGTTCGTTTAATGGTTAAAGGAAAAAAATTCGATTAATTCGATTCGGTCGGCCACCGAATGAACAACCCTAGCTCTCGCGAAAGATAATCAGCATACAATGATAAGCTGCTACGACGATTAGAAAAGTATAATGTCAAAAGTGATATGTTTGAAAGTTTTGTAGTAAATTCAATACATCCCTAAAGTTCAATATCTTAAACAATGTCACTTAGGCATAAATAATCACACCAAAACAGTATCATTTTGTCCATGTCATCACATCATTTGAATTTTAATGATATTGAAATTAAATTCAAAGTTTAGTGTTATAATTAGATAAATTAAAAATTAAGTGACGTAAAAAATATACAGTCTAAAATTCACTGGTAGCCAGTGTAGTTTACTCATAAATCAATTTTAGTAAGATGAGCAACAGACAGCAGTCGGATCAGTTTTCAGCTTTTCTTCGTTCGAGTCCAAGATTAGGCTTTAAAAGGATTCAAATTTACACCAAACTCTCACAAATTGCACTGATTGTTCCCAACAGAGTTTTCCCTTCCCTTACCTTCTTCTCTCATGGATTCCCTCTCTGTTTCCAGCAATGGAACACTCATCATCAAACCTCAAACTCTTTCACTTTGTCACTCCAACTAAACCCTTCAATTTCGTATCATGACGTGTAAACCGAGAATGGGTTGTCTTAGAATTACTTCAGTATTGTTTCTACTGATTGTAGTGAGCGCGAGTAGTTGATTTTCTCTCCTTTCATAGAAGGTTTTTTTATGCTTGTTTTCGTAGAACATATGTATAATTAAAAAAAATGATATCAGGAGGGGTAAATTTGGTGATGACAGTTATAGGTTTTACAGTGAGTGTTATGTTCATAGTGTTTATTTGTACACGTCTGATTTGTGCTCGGATCAGTGCTTCTCGGAGATCCCTCGCAGTTTCTTCAAGATCTGATCTTAGTATAGTAAGTTTTTTTTACTTTTTCCTTTTTTTGTGGGGTGGGGTCTTAATTCTTACATTTCTAGAACTGGGTTGTGTTGTTTGTGTGTTTTCTTCTTCTTTTTTGGGTTCATTAACAAATCTGGTTTCGTTGGGCGTTCAACTATGCTGATGGTAAACAATGGTTTCCTAAAGATTTATTTTCATTTTAAAAAAGAAAATCATAATAACATTTTTTTATTTAAGAAAGAAAAATTCAACATTAATAATGAAAGGATGAGTTTTAAGGGAACTGAAGGGAAGATTTTTATTTTAGGAAATATGATTTTTTTCCCTTTTCGGCTTATGTGAAAATTTGAATTTCTTAAGGAATTACAGTTGATATTGTTTACTTCTGCATTTAAACTTCAACAAATGGTTTCCAAATATATTTTATTTTATTTTATTCTTTGGGTGATTCGGAAGTTCATCCTTAAATTTCTTAGTGATGTAATGATTTTGAAGGATTTTTGGTTTTTGTGCTTCAATGCTTTTGTTGATATGTGAATCAAAGGTTGGAGGACAAAAGAAAATAAAAAGGAGAAAATGTTTCTCATTTTAGGTATCTTTTAGGTATATAAGTGTGGTATCAGTGCATTAAGTTATTCAGATCAGGGTGAGAGTCTCGGATCAGTACGTTCCAACACAAATATGCTCAACCCAAAATTTAGTGAGTTCTTGGAGAATATGTGTTGGACATCAGTATTCATAGAGAAAACTGAAGAATTTGTGCCACATAGTCAGTACATAACATGAACGACACTTTGCTACAACAAGCCAAGCAAAAATGAAAATCAGAAAGTTATAGAAGTAAATTCGAGTCATTTCCATGTATATTCTCTTTTCAATTGTGGCATTCATCCTTTACTGAGTGATCCCTATTTTTTATGGATATTGAATTTCATATTTACAGCTCGAGCGGGGTATACACGGTCTTGAGCCTGTTGCAATTGCAAATTTCCCGACAAAGACTTTCTGTGATGAGTGCTTCTCAGCTAACAAGGATGCTCAGTACGTGCTTGGAACCTTGCATTGTTTTGGAAATTATGCATGTTTCTTTACCATATGACATTTTACTTTATATCATGAAGATAATGTTTCTTTCCTTCCTTTTTTTTCTATGTGAAAAGCATTAGATGCCTTGGATTTGCAGGTTACCATGACCAAATTCTAGAAGGGAAACAGAGATGTTTCTAGTAGGAAAACATAGTTATTTCTTTTCTTTATAGCTGTCCTTTGTTGTTTACTATTTCCAAATCATATCTCTCACCTATGCTAACTATGTTACTAGGACTCTAGTGGGGAAGTATCAGATAAAGGTATTTGCTGATAGGGAATGTTCAAGTTTTCTAAGTTTTTCTATGTATTTGACGTTTCTTGGAGAACCATATCCCCATTCTCATGTCTAAATATGCTTCGGACATGAGTTTTGGGCTCAGATACATAAAGAAAAATGAACAGTCAGAGCAACAAAATGTGCTAATGCTAGATTTCAGAAGTTGGCTAAAATTCTCTGTGCTTGAGATTTCTTTTTTTCCCCCTCATTTTTTTCTTGCCTGTTAGAAGTTTGGAAGATGTAGGCATGAGCTATGGCCTGTCATATTTGCTTCATGAACTCGCTTCCGATGCCTAGGTGCATTTGAGTCCCAATAAAGGAAGATTAATGCACAATAATTTGAGATCTTCTAAATTTTGATAACATTTTTTTTGTTTTGGGGGGGGGGGGTCCTATTAAACTTTTGCACTTTTTTGGCCTGGTAGTACTGATGTAAAGCGTTATTCTTCACCGTGCCTGCCTAGATATTGACTGCCTTCCTTTGTTCTATCATCTCCTACTTTTTGTACCATAAACATGCCATATTTTCAATTATGATTTGATCCTTCTACCAGTTTTAGTGTTCATAGCCAATATTAATTATTCTTTTGAAATTTTCAGTAAATGACTTGTTAGGCAAAAATTATCAAAGATGCTTTCTTTGAAGAGAATACTGCTTGGAAAACTGTTGTTCAGCTTAGTCATCAAGCAAACTTCTGGTTTCCTTTTTTTTCCGATTATAAAACTTCTGTTTTCTTGATTGATAAAGTTAGCATCTTCATTAAAGAATGGTGAAGAGCGTATTCTTTACATTTTCCCCTTATCACACATTTTTTTTATTCAAAGATCTAACCTTTTTAACCTGTCATCAGCCTGCAATACAAAAAATATGGTTTTAAGAATTTTTGCATAACAATAATCGCAAAGCTCACTACCTTGAGGTTGACCGAAGCCATTCTCCACTTTTAATGGATGAAGATGCCTCCAATTATCATGTTAAGTGGGGGTTGGTTGTTCCATCAAATGAAAAAGTGGAGGCAGTTGTTTATTTATTTGTTCCCACTAAATCTGAAATGACTAGGTAAGGGCTACAGGTGGCCATTGGAGTGGCTCGAGTGTTTTTCGGTTCCGATATGCTCCGAGCTTAGATTGTTTTAAGATGATTCTGAGTTTGAATAATTTCAAATGCATTGCATTTCAGTTTCAAGTCGTTTCAGGTTTGGGGCCTTTGGGATATTTCAGATTAAGACCATTTTGTTTTGATTATTTTCAGGTTCGGTTCGTGTAGACTAGGGGTGTAATTTTTTATTGATAATATATATTTTGAATATTGAAATATTATTGGTTTCAATCTGTTTGATTGCTTTCTAATGATAGAAATTTTTACTTTCTTTTTCTTATTATTGCAAATTTGCAAGTTGGTCTGGAATCTGGGCATCATCTCAAGTCTCATTTTTTTTTCTCCTTTTTCATTTACTTGGTTTATAACTTAGCTACGGTCCTGGGACGGTGTGCAACATGTGGGAACTAAAACTTAGTGTTGATCTTATTTTTAAGTCAATATGCTAATTATATCCCTGTGTAAATAGATGCTAATGGAATCGAGTTTAGGGTTTTTCCCCTTCGGTTATTTACATGTTCTTTGGTATCTTAAGATTCGAGAGGTAGTCTCTGAGCTATTTTTACTGGAATTTTTACTTGAACTTTTCAATGATAGACTTCAGATTGTATATGTTCTTGGTTCTCTCTGCTTCCCCCTATTTCCTATTCGGTGCTGCATGAGTGGACCTAGTGGAAACATCCACGTTGGTGATTTATCCGAACTCTATTTTGATCTGAAGTAGAGAAAAAGGATTTAACCCCTGCAAAATTATGATTGCACTTGAATTCTTTTTTGCTTTCAGTAAGTTTAATGCATAGCAGTTTTAGAAAACATGTCATATTTCTCTTGTGAGGTTGCGTATTAGGTATTTTGATGCGGCAAAGCTGCAAGTGAAAGCTGCTGCCATGTTTGAGATATAAATGGGATCTTGTCACATACCCGGAAGTTTTTGATGAGTGTACTGTTAGTTGGACTTAGATGTGAGTCTCAGATAAATGCAATCTTGTCGGGAAATCTGTTGAGCTCGAGTTTTGGACTAGGAAATTTCTAGACAAATGTATAGTCAGAGCAATATAGAGCGAAACTTTGAAGTATGATTGAGGAACAAGGAATCATTTGGCTTCATGATTCTTCTGACAATCTAACTGATGATTCCACACGACAGACTATATTTCTTTAATATTGCAACTTGAAGTGTTCATGCATTCTGTTATTCTTATTTATTTCATCAATAGTTTGTGTTTTTAGAACTTTTTACGTGTTTTCTTCAGTTAGATTGCATATAGAATCTTAATCCGAACCTAACTAATGAAAATGTAGAACTGCAATGTGTCGCAGGTGCACAGTTTGCCTTTCGGAATACCGCTGCGAAGACACCTTACGAATCCTCCCATATTGTGGGCACTCCTTCCATGTAACCTGCATTGATAAATGGCTACAACAGCATTCCACATGCCCTGTTTGCCGAATATCACTTCGGGAATTCCCCGAGAAGAAAAGGTTGATGCAACCGTTGTTCAGTTCACCGAATCGATCTCATTTTGGCACAGAGTCTTTTGACAGGCATGCGTACAACTGTTTGTCGAGAGGGCACCGTTTTCCATCGAGAGCCCGTGACAACCCTGCGATGGAACTGATTCAAGAGAATTCTTTTGCAAGAGGGGGAACAAATGTAAATTTAGAAGCAGGGGAAAACATGTCCCGTACAATTGAAGATGATGAAAACGCCACTAAAGAGACAAGAAAGAAGCATGCGGAATGCCAATCAAACCCTTGAATTATGTTAGTTTGTTGATTGTAAAGATCTCCTGCTTGTGTTTTCCTTTGTTACAATTTTTGGTGGATTGTTGTAAATATGTCAAAAGTTGTATTTTTTTTGTTTAATTTTAATCCTCAATATTAGCTTGTTTTTGGCAGTTTTATTAGTTGTAAAACTAACACTGAATCTAGGGTAAACTACACTCGTGACCATTTAACTATGGATGGATTCTATTTTGAACATTGATATTTCAGTTTTATCAATCAAATCATTTAACTATTTGATACCAATCAAGTCGCTAATTGTTAACCGTTAAGGGAGAATGTGATATGGTAATTAAAACATTCGATATAATTACACAATTGATTATTATTAATCATATTTCTATCAATTTAATTTTAATTTAATTAAAATCAAGAATAAATTGATAAAATACGTGAATAACATAAAAGGAAATGACGAGGATTTATTCTTGTTGTTTTATCTATGTAATATCGTAAAAGCTTGTTTTATCATTGTAATGGTGTAAGAAACTGAGGATTAAGTTCAAGTTTGTTTATTAATTAAGATGAACTGCAAAATATAGATTTTTTTTCAACTTCCAATTTTCTCTTCACAAACATTGAATTTGAATAGTCTACTACTGGAAAAGAAATGCTGAATTTTAACTTGGAATTGAATCTGGAAAATTATTAAATTTTCAAAATAAATTTGATAATAACATTTTATACCCAAAATATTGGATAAAAAATAAAAGTAAACATTTCATTTATAATTAAAGAAAAGTGATTATGTAATTTAGATATACATATTTAAAAAATAAAGTTAATTTGAAATATTTTACTACAGTTAATATATATATATATATATATACTTCTAACCCAGAGTCTCAACAACTCCGGTGTACTTCTGATCAGAGTTGAATTCGAATTATATATCGAATTTCCTTGCATTTATTTATAATGCTTAATCGTTAATTAATAATTTTGGTATTAAATTGCAGCTTCTGTTTGCAGATTTCTTACAACAGACAATTAGAGAATCTGTCAGGAAACAATTACACTTCGCTGACTTTTCTTTGCAATATTCTTCAACACATATATTTTATATATATAACCAGAAATGCTCCCTCCTCCATTTTTATTTTTCGGCAGATAAAATTAATTAATTAATTTCTAGAAAAAAATATAAATTAAATTTATTCAAGAGCTGAATTGAGTGATAGATGGAGCTGAATGGGAAAAATTAAATTAGTTAAGTTTTTTAATATTATTTTATTTTTTAAATTTTATTTAAAAAATTAAGTAGAGTAAAATCGAGCCAAATAGAATATATTTATTTAAGTTTCTGTGTAGTTTATAAATATAATTATTTATAATATATTGATAATGATTGGTTCCAATTTAAACGACTTCTACAACCATATACAACATATATAGTTTTTTTATATTCTTTTTCACATGTGTAAGTAAGATTTATAATGCTATTTAATGGAGTAGATTAAATGTTATCTAAAATTTTATAATATATTTATAATTTTTTTGAAGGATAAATTTTTGAGGATAAAATATTGATGAGATTATAAAAGAGTTAACGAATTAATGAGAAAAAAATTGTAAAGGGTTATAATCTGATAATTAAATTGAAAAAAATATTATAAAAAAATGAAATTGAAGTTACAAGATTGAAGAGCATGTGTTTCAAATTTAAGAACTTGAAATGAACAAGGAATTGAAGAAAAAAAAAAGAATAAAAGCCAAGTTATAGAATAATCAAATTAATGTCTACAACTTAAAATAATTTATTTTAATTTTATGAAAAGGTTTCGGATCATTGACTCCCAACTTATTTGACTAATATTCCGATATATATTAGGTAGTCACATTCAACCTCAACTATTAATTTTGTATTAGTTTGTGGTGATTATAAAGTTGTATTTGTTCAGAATTTTCTTATCAAATTTTCTTAACCGATTGACAATAAACACATACATACCCTACATATATGTTAGAATATAAACCCTAAGAGAGATGAACATTTTTTTTTAGTAAAAATCAGTTGTTCAGCATCAACTATTTTGAATCCTAAGAAAATATAATGTTTTTTTGGTGCATATTTGTTCGATTCACAAGAGTGGAGAGGAGGAACTTGCTTAGGGGACATAGTTTTAGCTCTTTCATATGCATCATAGCCAATAATATAACATTTAAGAGAAAATATAGAGAGCTAAATTTGTTGATTCTTTCCCTTACTTATCATCTTCAATCCATACCTGTCCCATTGATCTCCTTGGTTTACTGCAGAAATAGGAAAGGAATTTATGTCATATGAACTCGAAGGTGATGACGATGAATCCATGGCAGCCTGCTCTAGTACCCTTTGTTTCACACTGTAAACGCTCTTATTTTCTTGACCATCAATGGAGTCAAGCCTCTGGAAGTAATCCTCTTTACGCTTCTTGTAACATTCTGCGTTGTCTGCATCACGTTCGTACCCCAAACTCACCATTTTCTCTTGTATTTCTTCCCACATGCTTTGCTTAGAGTACCCCTGGAATCTTCCTTCCAAGGTCGAGATTTCATGTTCGTTCCATCTGTTTGTGTTGATTTCGTTCTGGGTTTTACTCAACTTTCTCACAGCCTCCATTAATGCAGCATCTCGAGCTTCGATTCAAGCTCTCTCCTTAACCCAGAACTCGTGTTCTTTATCAAACCGAGCAACCTCTCGTCTCCTCCATTCATCCTCTTTCAACACTCTTTCTTGTTCTTTCTCTTGGATGACCTTCAACATTCTCTCCATCCAAACATCCTGTGAATCGATCAACTTCTTCATTTGAGAATCCACAAACTCCTCCACCTTCTTCGTCTTCCACGATCCCTTCTTAACCCTCTTTTGATCCTCCATCGACGGCTGTTTTGCCATGAAAGCAACGGCGGAAAGTCCATCGTCTTCGTCATCAATGTTCCCCGACGAAGAGTCCTCAAATTCAGATTCGGAGAAACTGAGGCTGTCGCTTATCTTTTGGTGTTGCATGCTAGATTCCTCCAGCGGGACATTATTAATGTTGGTTTCTGGGACTGAGGTTTGAGGATTGCTTGTTTCACCATAAATGGCTTCCAGCTGTTTAAAGAACCTGTAATTTTTCCCATCTTGTCTTCCAGCTTTACCACCCTTAGTCTTCTTATAGTATTTATAAAGGTTTTCAAACTTCTCTCTACACTTCTTGCCACTTCTCAGGTATCCATATTCCTCGCCCATTATCCTAAGCAAGTTAGACATCAAATAATTTAAAATTATAAATATGAAAAAATAATTATTAATCGAGTTCAAATAAATAATTAATCATATGCCAACATTCCTCATCATTATGTCTTTTAAGTAATAAATTTTAAATTGAAAAATAGGAGTAAAATTATTCCAAAGCATTCCTTTCTGATTTCTTTTTATTGTTTGAAGAATACCAGGGATTAGCTAGTGTTGCAAAACAAGGTAGTCTCAGTTTAAGCTATGAAAAAAAGCATATTTTATTTATATTTTTAAAGCAAAAAAGAACACCTGCATCTCTGAGTTAACTCACAGCTCTGTTGCTTTCAATCCAAAACTAATAAAAATCTATCTGAAAGAAAAAGATTTAAAACTTTTGTGTGACTTTTCATGTAAGTAGAGAGACAAACTGGTTTCACTCAGCAAAGATAAATAGGGTTTCTTGATTGAGCATGTATCATAAAATTGGAACAAAAGTTAAAAAATGGAAATCCAAATGAAAAGATAAGGAAGAAGAAGAAGAATAGTGAAGACAGTTTAATGCATTAATGATAATATCTATCTATCTATCTATATACCTAGAGACTTCATCCCACAAGGGTGCTTTCTGGTTAGCCTCTTTGAACTTGGATTCAAGTCTAGATCTGATCTCAAGAAGTGTAAGAGTTTCTTGCCTCGGCCACCGGCTGTTTCCGCCGTCGTAGTTTCCCACGTTCCATCCACCACAACCACCAGCAGCAGAAGCTGAAGTTGAAGCAGTAAAAGCAGTGGCGGGGCTAAACCTTAGCAAACCGCTAGGTATTGCAATCCCATTGCTCAGCATGTAGGCTGATGCATCATGGTAAGGAGCTGACGGAGCCATGTTCCTATGAGCAAGGTATGACTCAGAAGGCAGCGGCAGGGATGCCGGAAAATGGGTTCTCGTTGTCAAAAGTCGCCGGAGATCAGGCGGGCCGTACTGATCACCCATTTCCATTAGGTTTTTCTCCCCCGCTTAAAGAGTAAAAGAACAATACTGAAGATAGAGAGAAGATGTTTGATTGAATGAGGACTTTGTTTGGACCATTTTGAATGGGGACAGGATCCGAGTCTACCGCAACTTTCATCACTCTTTCATCACTAAATTTATGTTTGGCTTTTCCCTTTCTTCTTTCCTCTCTGCGATACAAAAAGTATACGTAGATTGCTGGACCAATGAGATTTTGCAAAGTGTCGAAACATTACACAAGGATATGGATATACGAAAGCCCAAATGACTCGTGTTGCAGTGTCCTTGCACCTTTTCTTTTGACCAAGGATGTCGTCCAATAGCTTCGGGTTGTGTTCGTATATAATGGATCGTTTTCTTTTATAAATCTATTTAAGGTATTTATTCTTCTCTTATTATAATATTTTTTCAACAATTTAGCATGAGTATAAGATAATATATGTTCATAATCTGTCTTAGTTATTAATAATGCATAAACACTTTAGATACAACTGCTTGAAATCAGAACCTTAAAAGAAAACAATATTCTTTTTAATGACTAAAATCACTCAATAAATTTTATAATATCTTATTTTGATCGTACGAGGTTAGATATTATGCTAAATAATTCATAAACTTCAAAACATTCGAATTGAGTTATTAAAGCATCAATATTATATTAATAAGATATTTATGTTAACTTAGGTATTAAATTCCAACTTGAATGTATTTAAAAACATGTTGATTAAATTGTAAACACTTCTTTTCTTATTACAAAGTAATGTTAATAAATTTTAAATTTTAAATTTTTTATTTTATTTTT